TTTCCTTTTCAATCTTCAGCCACTGTCATTTTCTGTATAATTGGATGCAATATGACAATTTGTAGACCTTCTATACACATTGTACAGAACATCCCCAGAAATGTCATTTCCTGCTTGTGTGGTTGGCTCATTGATTTTCTCAGTCTACACTTAGATACAAGTATAATTTTAGGCATCCTCTGCAATAGGAATTATGTTTTTAGTGAGATACTCCCCAACGGTTAATTACATCTAAAAATATACAGTGTCACATGGGCAGTTAGAGATCACCAGCCAAACATGTTGGTAAAAGCAGAGTCCTTTTTTATTCCAAACAAACAGGTCAACAGAAAAAAATGCATGTCTTCAGCAAACAGAAAATATAAAATAGTCCATACTCTGGTTCAAAATTGCAAAACAAGCTAAAGGTGCACCACCAGTATACCAATTCCACATTGGGATTTTGGGGTTTCCCATTGGTTTCAGGTGTCCCAAGGAGGAGATTTTCACAGCTCAGCAACTATAGTGCACTCCCAAGAGCAGTTCACCCTGCTCACAAAGGTGTCCATCTCACTTTCTCACATCTGAGAACCCACTGTTTCCCCTTCCTTTTCTGGACTCTGGTCCAGAAGAGGTTAACACAGTTGCCTCAAAGTCCCTGTAATCAGGGTTTATAGGTTCTTCCCACCCAAAACTCTGTGAACCTCCAAAATTCCAGGTCCCTAATAGGGATTTAGAAATCCAGATATTACTGAAAGCAAGTCCTCTCCTCTCCAGCCTGACTACCCCCAAACCCCTCACCCTGCATGGGTGAGAACATCTGAGTACTCAACTTTACCTTCAAATCGTCCCCCTTTAAAGGGACCACAACCCAAATAGTGGGGAATTATACCTACCATTCAGGATCAAACTCTGGTGTCCTGTACAGCAGACAATGCAACTTTCCTCGTTAGAACCCCCTGCAAGTGCATCAGCTGATTAGATTGAACAGAGACACTGTTCAATCCATTCAGGATTCACTATTTCAAGGACATAGTTGAACATACAGCTTTTTCTTAACAAGAACAGGTAGATTATCTGCTACAAAGTTTACTAAAATCTTTGCAATGTACATAGATCACCCAGAGGGGATTGTTTTTTGCGCAACAAATGTGGAGTTACTCTTTAAGATATATGTAAACCCCAACAATGAACTTCTCTTATTTGATTCCTTTTGGTCTGTTATAAATAATATATTTTTTTATTAGTTACTATTGTTCTCAGCTATCTCTGTGGGTTACAGAATGCCCCCTTATGTTATGGAGAGGTGATTTGTAGTCCTGTCCTAAAATACTTCTTCTCTATAGATACAGTACTGTGACTGTATGTTGACACCCTAGAACAGAAAGTGCATTAGTTACAAACTTTTTTTGTCCTTGTAATGAATTTGTTCTTATAGTTCATTAAATAACAAAATGCATCCCACAGTCCTTTGTCAAAGGCAGAAAGTCATATCATTATAAGACAAGCACGTTAATCTGTCAGGCATACTATGTTTGCAGTGATTTCAGTAGCAGTGTCCATGTGGGGTATTATTTTCTATACTGTTATGTTTCATATTGTGCTTTTGTAAGCTAATACCTCAGCTAAAAGTTTCATCTTGTGAGGTTATGGTAGCGTCTCAATTACTTAACAGTTTTTACAAAAGTGAACTAGAACAGAGAATAGAGCTAGTCACAACATGGAAATATAAATGATTGTCATTGGAGTCACATCCTAAGACATCCTAAGAGAGCCTGGATAACAGACATTTTCTTGAACCTATCATTCTTCTCTCCACACGCTGAACCTGCACATGCTTGGCACTGAGCACATCTGGGTTCTTGCCTTCATTGTGCCAATGCCATGTATCAACTCAAGCAGATTGGACTCCCTGCCCCTAATCTGTTTCTGATGTACCCAGCCAGAGGCATGATGGTTTTAATGGACCTTTTCAACTTTCTATAAAGACAGCATGTCACCACAGTAAAACACAGTACAGGGAATTTCTAAAGGATGTTGTAGACACTCTTTAGAATTTTTGTTGGGCCATAGCACTAAAATTGTCATTGCTTGCTCCTGATTCATGTACCTGTCAGAGACTGATACATGAGTCAGTCGGAGCCAGGCACTGAAGTTGGAGTGTTGATTCTGGACGTTCCTTCCCTGGCCACTGCTTCTGTCACACTGACAGGTGCATGGCTGAGAGGTTTTGTAGTGTGGGTTCGTGGAGCCTGATGGAGAACTGAGAGACTAGTTCCTCAACAGGTCCACTTTGCTTTTGCTTGACTGCACATGACACTTGGCAGATCCATACTTTTTACTGAATTGTGGCTATGGATCTGCCCACTGCCATGCACTGCAGCAAGCAAACCTGTGGATACACCAATGTCAGTTACCCCATCAAGCTCCACCCACTGAATGACACAAGTCATTTCCCAAACATGAGCATTGCCATATTCAGGTAAGGACATCACCACTATCTCTAACCCATTTGTTTACATTTAGCTTTTGGCCAGGGAATCTCCCGGATGAAAGCTGAATGGGGCCAGAGGTTGAGCCCTATGCGGAAAAACTGTCATGCTCCACCCTAAGCACTGGCAGATCTCTGTACACCCGCTCAGAGTTTATTACAGGTACCACCAATTTTCTAATCTGCAAACTGGTGGTAATTCTTCAAGAATCTGTCTTTGCCTTAGTGATAGGTTCTTAAAGTGGAAGTAGTTAGAACTACCTGAATTTGTCACCTGTGTCAGTAACATTACGGAAACTGGCACAAATGCTTGTCTGAATTAGGCACAGCTAATTCTAATGGGAATTACTTGGATATACTGCTTGCCACAGTTTACTTCACATTGCTGTCCTGCACATACTGCTTGCTAGAAAACTGCTTGGTCTTTAGCATTGTTTGAAATATCCCCAAGCTGGTGTAGGCACACTTTTGCTAGTTATTTTTTTCACTAGCCCCGTTGTAAAGGCTTACCTCTCCTAATAAAATAGTATGTATTTAGTAACATCAGAATTGTGTACAGTCTACAGAGACTCAAATAACATTTTTTGCCAAGTTTTGTGAGTTGTTTTGAGAAATAAACATTATTAAAGGAACCAGAGGGCACCTTTCTTGTCTGCTGCTTACATAAACATAAATCTTTTGGCTCAGCCAAGCATTCCTATTGTTTAGAAGAGGTATGGGGGAACAAGAGAGTAACAAAGGCATTCACTGTCAGCAATATTTATCTCAAAGGGGAACAATAGGGATGAGGATTTGTTCATATGTGATGCGCTGAAATTCATTCTGCAGTTTTCAGTTCAGTAGAAATGCATGGACACAGGAAAATAGATTGTTTTAATATGAATTAAAAAAGTATAAATCTATTAATACAATAAAAAATGACTCCAGAACTAATGTGTTCAATGTTGAACAAGCTCCAAAGTTTTCTAACGTGACTTGTACACTCCTATCTGAGCATGGACATGGTTGATTGTTTAATCCAGTAGACTGTTTTCTTATGTTTATGGGTAGCTTATTGCTAAAAAGAACTACCTAAATGCAAATCTGTGTAAGGTAGAGTAGCCTTACTAATCTGTGGAAGAAGTTGAACCTTGTTGACTTAAAATCTGAAGTTGGTAGAGAGCTACGAGAAGTTAAAGTGCCATATACAGTATGTGCATAATTTCCCTGTAGTCTGGGTTCACACTATTGCGGTGCGGAATTCGCAGTGTTTTCTGTGCAAATTCCGCACCACATCACAATCGCACCCCGTTCATGTGAACCGCTGCGGGTGTGTATGTTACATTGACAGCACCCTGAAATTGGTCCGCAAAACGCGTTGTGATGTGCATTATCGGATTGCCTGGGTGTGAATACCCATGTGATACAATTCTAGTGCGGACCAAAAAAAGGGTCCAGCACCTTTTTGGTGCAGATGCGGTGCGATTTGAGCCGTACAAAATGTATGGCTTCAATCTCACCGCACACAATTCACATGTGGTGCGGTTCCTGTGCGAATCACATGTGATTATACTGCACCGCACAAGTGTGAACCCAGGCTTACACGGTGTAGCGGGAATCATAAGCTAATGTTCAGTGTTTGTGTTTGATTTGCACATAAAGTATTCTTTATGTTCAAATGCCTGTTAATAGTTAGCCTAAGCTCTTTAGAAAGTTAAATCTAACATAGAGGGGTTGATTTACTAAATGTAAATAATATACGACGTTAGCTTTGCAAGGGAATTTTTCCTTAGCTTAGTGAATGTGGTGAAACATCTCTAAATTTAGTCAAGGAAAATTAAAAAAAAAAAAAAAAAAATTATGCAGTGTTTTGGATTCTATGATGGAAGTGGGCAAAGCCTTGCCTAAATAACAAAGCTAAGGGAAAATTTCCTTGCAACGTGAACCAGCCTATTTGCCTTCAGCTTGTGTAATGATTTTAAAGGCAATCAAATTAAGTGTGTGCGTGTGTGTAATATATAAAACATTTTTTGTTTGTTACTCAACGTTGGCCTATTTAGTAAGTATTGTTTTAAGTTATGCCCCATACACACGATCAGAAAATCGGATGATAAAAATTGCTTCCAGAGGGATCGTATGATAATCTGATCTTTAGTACACAGCTTTCAACAGCCGATCATGACAGTTCATGCGACAATATTCAAAAGAACAAGCACAAAAACTTTTCTTGTATGACAACAGCGCAAACGATTTTCATTTAATCAGTATAGTATTTGTCCATAAAAAATCGAGAAACCAAGACCATGCATGCTGAGGAACGAAAGAATACATTCCAATACAATACAGTACATCACTTCCAAAGTTGTATTCTGTCATACGAGAATTTTTGTAACTTTAGTAACCTCTTCATTTTCGATATAAGATTAGCATGTAACAAAAAACAAACAGTAAGTTGTCCGATTATCTGATCCTGTGTACTAGACATTAGGCTTACAATAATGAGCATATTTTTTTCTTACTCCACTATTTTGTCTGTTATTTTCTTGGTTAGGTTCATGAACCACATGAAGCATCATTTGGAACTTGAGAAGCAGAGTACAGAAAGTTGGGAAAACCACACCACGTGCCACCACTGTTATCGCCAGTTTCCAACTCCTTTTCAGCTGCAGTGCCACATTGAAAGTTCACACACGCTCTATGAATCCACAAGTAAGATCAGAGGGCACTACTCTGTGTTACGGATCTGTGTTATTCATCCATTGGTGAAAGCATTGTTAGTAAACCTGGCAAGAGAAAATTTTATTTCATGCTCAGGCAGTAGTTGTAATACACTTAATTTTCTACTTAACACAAATCTGCAAATCATTTTCACCTTGTGCCGTTATTTTGAAAAAGACATAATGTGTATTAAGTTGACCTTCTAAAATCTAAAATTCAATGGAATGTGTTTTTTTTGTTTGTTTGTTTAAAGCTAGAAAGTTGGCAGTCAAATATTTATTATATAGTTCTAAAAGGACCACTAATGCCAATGCATTTTTGCCCAAATCTGGAAAAGTAACAAATTCATGTTACATTGTAGTTTACCCATGCAGTTTAAAGAAATTAATTCAGGTTGGATCAAATACCTAATTATTAATCTTAATTTTACAGTTGATTTATTGTGTTTCCCCAACCTCAGCAGAAAACACTTGGTCCTGGAAGCCATGTGCACATAAAGACCTCTGAACCCTGTGTGAGAGCAGTGGTTTTTGTAGAGTGGTCTAACCTGCCCCCTTGCTGATTGCAGCGCTGTAGCAATGACAACTACACAGTCATTCCGGGAGTAGGAGTTTTCTTTTTGGTCTGGGGTAATAATACAAACAGTAAAAAAAAAAACTGTACTTTTGAATACTACCTTTTTTGATCCAGGCTTGCTTCTTTTGTACAGTTTGTGGACAAACTACATTTCCACCTTTTGCAAAAAAAATAAGTGCATCCATATTTTTTTGCATTTGAGCCTGCAAAGCATTGCTATTGTGATCAGTGGATAGTGAATGCAATGCTCTGGCTCCTGATGAGTATTCCTCTAGCTTAAGTCCATATGGATGGACTACAAGTGCGGTGACTTCATGGCACTAATGCTCCAATGAGAACTACGAATCCCGCTGTTGTGGTGACAGGTGGGACTTTTAATTTTTTCTTCCACAACTCTGTTGAATAAATGATACAGATGTGTGGTCAGAGCTACACAAAGCTGTACCAAATTTAAATTTGACAGGAACCGCTGGTAAAAAGTTTTGGGGGGGTTGAGGGTATAGTCTATGCATGCTGATCTTGTTTCATGCTACACTCTGAATATAGGCGTAACATGAAACATGGTTAGAATGGTGGAGTTAGCTTTTAAAGCGGACCTCTGTATAAGTTTACTTACATCCACCTTTTCTCCCCTCTGTTTCATTTGCTGGAAAATGTGAGGAACTCTGCGTCTATCATCAGCTCACCATACACATTAAAACTTGACTGTATGATGTTTGTACAACCAACTTTAGAATTACCTAACTATGTATTTGCATAGGCAAAGCACACGTTCAGTCTAAGTTAAATTGTATCTTGTTTGCTTAGTGGTCAACCGCTTCACAAGTGTAATACAGAATTAACAACTCGTATTGTCATTTCTGGTCCTATATCCAGTAGAAGCTTTACACATCATTGTGTTTGAAAGAGAACAAATATGGCCTCCGACAGAATAAAGTGATTTGTTTGTTATTTTAGGAAACATAAGACAAAGAATACAGTAAAGCTGCACATACAACAAATCTATAGTATAACAATTCTTGTAACATATAACTTCAGGAATGACTTATATTTAACTTTTTTTTTGGCTCTCATATGAAACCAATCATTAGCTTGTTGGACAATTCATGACAAGCTGCTTGCTATTGTGACACACAGGGGTTTATTTACTAAAGCTGGAGAGTCCAAAATCAGACTCCCTTCTGCCTAGAAACCAATCAGCTTCTAACCTCAGCTTGTTCAATGAAGCTTTGGCAATGAAACCTGGAAGCTGATTGGTTTCTATGCAGAAGGGAGTCTGATTTTGGACTCTCCAGCTTTAGTAAATAAACCCCACAGTGTCTGCATGCTCCTGAGCTGTGTGTCTTAAGGAGCCACGCTCCATAGACTTACACAGCAGGACTTAGCCCCGCCCCCACTTCCTCCTCACTGCATTTGATTGACAGCAGCAGGAGCCAAAAACATGCGGTTGAGTCACATTTTTACTGCCCCCCACACTTTCCTTCTGGAAGCAAAGGTAGCAGATAGGTGTGCAGAGGCCATCATTTGATGAGCAATACTTGTATGAGGCAATGCACGCAGTTGTGGTGGTGCAGGAGTTAAAACAAATAAATATTAGGAAATATATATCAACTCCTGACTGCCTGTGAAACACCCTCTGAAAAGTAAACCACTACGTATTGCTCTTAAGAGGGAGAAGTTCATGTAAACTAGTCTTTAGGCGTGCTTTCTGGTAATTCAAATACAAATAAATAAGATCAATCATTACATATGGTTTCCAAATCAACAGTGCCTTGAACAAGTATTCATACCCCTTGAAATTTTCCACATGTTACAACCAAAAACGTAAATGTATTTTATTGGGATTTTATGTGATAGACCAACACAAAGTGGCACATAATTGTGAAGTGGAAGGAAAATGCTAAATGGTTTTAAAAATGTTTTACAAATAAATATCTGAAAAGTGTGGTGTGTATTTGTATTCAGCCCCCTTTACTCTGATACCCCTAACTAAAATCTAGTGGAACCAATTGCTTTCAGAAGTCACCTAATTAGTAAATAGAGTTCACCTGTGTGTAATGTAATCTCAGTATAAATACAGCTGTTCTGTGAAGCCCTCAGAGGTTTGTTAGAGGACATTGGTGAACAAACAGCATCCTGAAGGCCAAGGAACACACCAGCTAGGTCAGGGATAAAGTCGTGGAGACGTTTAACGCAAGGTTAGGTTACAAAAAAAATCCCAAACTGTAAACATCTCATGGAGCACTGTTCAATCCATCATCCGAAATGGAAAGAGTATGGCACAACTGCAAACCTACCAAGACATGGCCGTCCACCTAAACTGACAGTCTGGGTAAGGAGTGCATTAATCAGAGAAGCAACCAAGAGACCCATGGTAACTCTGGAGGAGCTGCAGAGATCCACAGCTCAGGTGGGAGAATCTGTCCACAGGACAACTATTAGTCATGCACTCCACAAATCTGGCCTTTATGGAAGAGTGGCAAGAAGAAAGCCATTGTTGAAAGACAGCCATAAGAAGTCTCGTTTGCAATTTGTGAGAAGCCATGTTGGGGACACAGCAAACGTGTGGAAGAAGGTGCTCTGTTCAGATGAGACCAAAAGTGAACTTTTGGCCTAAGAGCAAAACGCTATGTGTGACAGAAAATTAACACTGCACATCACCCTGAACACACCATCCCCACCGTGAAATGGAATGGGCAAAAATTTCACTATCTGGATGTGCAAAGCTGGTAGAGACATCCTCGAAAAGAATTGCAGTGAAAGGTGGTTCTACAAAGTATTGACTGAATACAAATGCATGCCACACTTTTTTAGATATTTATTTGTAAAAAAAATTTGAAAACCATTTATCATTTTACTTCAACAATTATGTGCCACTTTGTGTTGGTCTATCACATAAAATCCCAATAAAATACATTTATGTTTTTGGTCGTAACATAACAAAATGTGGAAAATTTCAAGGGGTATGAATACTTTTTCAAAGCACTGTGTATTCTGTACAAGCAAGTTTCTTTTATTCAACACTACTCTACATTTTATGATTCTTATAAAACGGCATTTAAAATGATTTTATTCTTCATCTTCTCTTTTCTTCAGCCATTTGCAAGATATGTGAATTATCATTTGAATCTGAGCAGGTTCTGTTGCAGCATATGAAGGATAATCATAAGCCTGGAGAAATGCCATATGTTTGCCAGGTAAAAAAAATAATAAAAAAAATAGGTGTGTGTGTACGTATACTTTTTCATATGCTTTCACAATACCTTCTTACTGTTAATACATTCGCTTGTGGCAAGCACTAAAGGCTGTTCAGGGGACAGTAACAAGCTTAGTGACTGCTTGTGTCTGCGGTTACACAGGTTTGAGAACCCATCTCCCACCCCCCAGCAGCCCAAGCTTTAATTAGTGTGATTTAAGGTTTTGTGGTTTCTACCATACACAATACATTTTTGTAATTTTTTTCCCCCAGTTTATGTATTTTCAGCATTTTATACAATTGCTGTACAATGTAGTTGCCAGTCAGTTCAGGCAAGTTTTCAGCAAGAAGCTTAAGGCCCCTTTCATGTGGTTGGTCTAGGTCAAGTCCACCTGTCAATTTTTCAGGCGGACCTGATTGGATGGTCCATTCACCCCAGAAACTGAGTGGACATGGATGTGTCATCGGCCACTCTGCTCCTATCAGCAAGGGGTGTGTGAGCGGATCCCGTGCTGATCAAGACAGACTCCGCCCCCTCTCAAAGGGGTCTTTTGTGCAGTTAATATTTCAGTGTGTAATGCAAATTGTGAGTTATTTTTGCAGTATTAAATGTAATTTTTTGTCTGTTTTTCAAAAACTTGCATGCCTGCTGTTTTTTTTCCGATTTTTGTTATTATATTAAATGCAGAGGTTTATGGATTATCTGCTAAAAAATTAACACACATTGACAATATTTAAAAGCTTCCCTCTTTCATATGCTTAACCAGTGTCAAGCAAAATAGAGCCTTCTTGGAACAGCATGTAATGGAATGAGATGTGAACACTTCCTGTTCTTTATTGTGCTATGCACTACTTTAATAGAGGGCTTTTTTTCCTTTAATTCCTTCTCGCCATAATCAACTGGCTTATACTTTTGCAGGCTCATCTAGAAAACATTGAAAAAGAAATACATTTCAGTAGAAGTGATTTGTTCTAAGACTCAGTTTACAATCTTGCTTGCATATATTTTTGTTATTCTATTAAATGTTTAAATTTGTAGATGTGTAAAGGAGCTCCCAATATCCTGGCTTAATTATTTTTTCTATATTAAAAAAATATTAAGGTTTGATATCAGCCACATAGGGACTGAACTTTTACCCCCGTTTATATGTACAGTTGTGTTCAAAATAATAGCAGTCCAACATCACTAACCAGATCAATCACAGTTTTTGGTATAAATTTCTACACGGCAAATAATTTACAAGTAGGTGTAGTAGAGTACTAGAAAACCAACAGACCCAACAGTCATGACATGCTGTCGATTCTGTGTAATTGAATCATTAATTGAAAGGGGCGAGTTCAGAATAATAGCAGTGAGTTCAATTAGTGAGGTCATTCATTCTGTTTTTTTTTTTTTTTTTTGTAAAATAAACATGTCTATACTTACCTACTGTGTACAGTGGTTTTGCACAGAGCAGCCTAGAGCCTTCTCTTCTTGGGTCCCCCACAGGCTCTCCTGGCTCCTCCTGTTTGTCGAGTGGCCCGCCCCTTTCTCTCCTCATTGGCTGACTGGCTGTGGTTGACAGCAGCGGGAGCCATTGGCTTCCACTTGCTGTCTCAGCCAATGAGGAGGCAGATGCCTGGGACAGCCGAGGCTGTTATTCACATCACTGGATTGCGATGAGGCTCAGGTAAGTATTGAGGGGGCTGGGGGAGCTGCTGCACACAGAAGGTTTTCACCTTCATGCATAGAATGCCTTTACAACCGCTTTAAGGATGAAGGCAGCAAATATTGTACATGCTGGGTATAGTGCATTTCTCTAGTAAAGTGGGTCGTTCCAGACATTGTTCAGAAGAACAGCGTACTTTCATTAAAACGTTGTTTGGAGAGGGGAAAGCATATAAAGAAGTGCAGAAACTGATAAGCTGCTCAGCTAAAATGATCTCAAATGCTTTAAAATGGCAACCAAAACCAGAAAGACGTGAAAGAAAATGGAAAACTACCATTCGAATGGATCAAAGAATAGCCAAAATGGCAAGGACTCAGCCAATAATTAGCTCCAGGGTGATCAAAGAAGGACTAAAGTTACCTTTGAGTACTGGAACAATCAGATGCCTATGCGAAGCCAAGCTATTGCTAAGAAGCCCCCGCAATGTTACAATTTGCCATAGATCACATTGACTGGCCTGAAGAGAAATGGCGCAACATTTTGTGGACTGATGAAAGCAAGATTTTTGGGTCTAAGGGTTGCAGACAGTTTGTCAGACGACCCCCAAACGCCGAATTCAAACCACAGTACACTGTGAAGACAGTGAAGCATGGTGGCGCAAGCATCATTATATGGGGATGTTTCTCATATTATAGTGTTGAATATGTCAGAATACTTGAAGAGGTCATGTTGCCTTATTCTGAAGAGGAAATTCCCTTGAAATGGGTGCTTCAACAAGACAGCTACCCCAAACACACCAGTAAGTGAGCAGCATCTTGGTTCCAGATCAACACTATTAACGTTATGAAGTGGCCAGCCCAATCCCTGAACCTTAATCCAATAGAAAATTTGTGGGTTGATATAAAAAAATGCCATTTCTGAGATAAAACCAAGAAATGCAGTGCAATTGTCATTGGCTGAAATACCTGTTCACAGGGGCTGGAAGTTGGTTGACTCCATACATCACAGATGTGAAGCAGTTCTCAGAAACAGTGGTTATAATAACTAACTACTAGTTCAGTGATTCACAGGAGAAAGCTAAATCTTCAAGCATTTTTCAGTTTATATAATATGAATTTGTAAAGAAAAATTTAGACACTACTATTTTTTTGAACAGCGTAATATTCCATTTTTTTCACTTTCTGTAAAGTAATAACAAATTTGAAACCTTCTTCATGTTTTTATTTGAAATAGACTGTGCAGTTTTCCTAATGCATTTGCGTGTATGGAAATAAAAGCTATTATAAGGATTTTGCGCTTTACTCACTTTTTTAAACACACTGCTATTATTTTGAACACAAGTGTACAGTATAGTTACACATTTCATATAGAAACAAGTATACAGGATGCCAGGGATATGTCCTGGACAGGTCCTGTGATGGGTAAAGCCTGGACTTCATATAGAGTTCAGTGTCATAGACAGGTAAAACAGGTTCTGTCTGTGTGCTTCTGACTGTTACTGTTAAAGACTGGGGCGAAATTTGAGTGGTATTTGCTACAGTGTAAAATCTGCAAATTTGACGCTAAAAAACATAACCAGAGCTTAGTCTCAGGTGGATGACCAGGTGTGACATTATACCACAGGCCGCACAGTTTACAGTCACTTCCGCCTAGAGCTCTTATAGGTAATCCACACCCTACTCCATGAGTACCTCACGGGAATATCCTCACACGTAGCTATGGCAGAGATGGGATGAAAGGGAGCATTGCAAAACCGTAGGCAAACATTAGCTCTGCCGAATACCCGCAGACCACTCAATCTCAGAGTGATGATAAACCCCTTCACTGGACAAGGAGTCAGCTACACACCAATCTTTTCATTCAATTTTAGCTCTGTTTCAGGCATGCAACAAGCGGCCATTTTGACAAAAGAAGAATTATCTGTATCTGTCACAATTCCTCTGCACAAACAGCAGGGTTAAGACAGTCATCTTTGCCCAGGACTCAAAATTACCAAGTCTCTTCTCCTACTCTTGTTTATCTAATGGAGTCAGATGCCAATATACCTTCTGTAGAAAAGGCACAAACAGAAGGAGATGAAGAGGACATTGAGAGGAAGCCGTGGAAAATTTTTCTCACCCAGGTTGCCACTATATTGCTGTGGGAGCTTCACGCAACAAGTCTCTAATGTGGAAAAACTCACTGCTGCTGTCTGCAAAAGCCATGGCATTATACATTTTGATCCTCCCTCATCTCACCTTGCAAGTTTGGGTACAAGGAGACGGAATATTCCCTGTTCATGAACATATAAAATGTGCAGTCCAAGACGAGTGGGCCACTTCTGAAAGGATTTTCCCACGTCAGAAGCCTCAGTCCCCTCAAAACACACCTAACCTCTCTACCTAGGCTTCAACTTCAAAATCTAACTTCAGCCCTTCCTTTCAGCACATGCCTTGGGCCACAAAGCCCTTCTCCCAGTGAAGTGGCGCTTTCACTTCCAAGAGTGGGGGGACATCTGTTATAGATTGCCTCTGTCTGGGTTACAGATAACCCAGACCTGTGGATTCGTTTGATGGTTTCATAGGGATACAAATTAGAGGTACAAAAATCTACTCCCTCACTCATTTCTCAGCCAGTTGTCTGGAAATATTCACGGGGCAATTTAGATGTTTCCAGGTTCTGGTTAGGTGAATAATATATATATACTAGCCTTCTCTTTGCGTGGAATACACTTGGCCTGGTCCTGGACACTTCACAATCAAAGGTCTTTCTTCCAGAAAAGATCATCCTTTCTCCCTGAGCCCACGCTAAAGAATTGAAATCAAAGTGATATCCCACAATATAGATTCTCCATGAGAGTGCTAGGCCTCATGGTAGCCTCCTTTGAGACTTCACCATTCGCCCAATTTCATTCAAGATCTTTCTAACACAACATCCTGTTAACCTAGGACAGGCATGTTTTGTCTCTGAGCCTGTTCCTATCCAGTCAAGAAAGGGTCTCCCTATTTTAGTGGATTCCAGCCCTAACAATAGGCTGGTCTTTCCTGTCAAGTGTAAAGCGATAACAGATTCTAATATTTCGGGCTGGGGAGGAGTGTTCCATGGTCCAGGGAACATTGTTACCAGTGGAAGCCAAGCTTTCCATCAACATTCTGGAGCTAAGAGAAGTTTGATTGACTCTACAACACTGACCCCCCCTTGTGCTAGGACACCCAGTCAGTGTACAGTCAGACAATGCCATGGCTGTGGCTTACACCAGCTATCAACAGGGGACCGGGAGTGATGCAGCCTTGAAAAAATCCAACCAGATACTCTCATGAATGAAAACTCATGTCCAGTAATCTCCACAGTCTACATCCCAGGAGTGGAAAACTAGAAAGCAGACTGCTTCAGCCACCACTGCCTGGATGAAGGAGAATGATCCCTTCACCCAGAAATCTTCAAGCTGATATATCAAAAATAGGGGACTCCAGATGTAGCATGCTAGCATCCAAATTTGACTTCAGATTTCCAGTGTTTTTTAGCCAGGACCAAGAAACCTCTAGACCTAGCCTCTGATGCCTTAATAATTCCCGGTTCTTTGTTCAGGCTAATCTGCACCTTCACTCCAGTGAGAATTCTGCCTCACCTGCTTAAAAAGATAGCGCAAGAGAGGAAAATAGTGATTCTAATTGCACTGAATTGGCCCAGAAGAACCTTGTACACTTAGACTTCTAGCAGACAATCCCTAGTATCTTCTCAACAGGCAAGATCTGCTATCCCAAGACCCATCATTCCATTTTTTTTTTTATATTTTACTATATAGATGATAAAAGACCGAACATTTTAGGAAAAACATGTTTCTCCTTTAAAATTTTGCAAATAAATAATCTTTCTTCATAAATTTAGGCCAAAATGTATTCTGCTACCTTTTTAAATTAGCCAAATCAGTATATAGAAGAAAAAGTCATAGTTAAAATTTTTCTTTTTTTTACACTTTTACTTTGTTTTTAAATTTTTTTATGTGTGTATTTATTTTACATACAGTTACCCTATCCATCCAGTGTCACCATAATGTCTACTTGAGGGTGATCAGGATTTTTTTTTTTTTTTTTACACTGAGATTGCTTTTACGGCCTTGCTGGCTGTAAAAAGCAATACTTTCTCACTCTCTAGCTGCATTTCTGCAGCCATTGAGAAATAATGTGAGAGCTGTAATTGGTCACAGCTTATCGCATGGCACAAGGTTGCTGTGAATAGCATTATACCATGTGATCTCTGTGATCCATCATAGCCCACAGTAGTGTGCAATAATGCCAGGAAATGACATCTTGTTTACTACTGCTCACAGCGGCCCGGTATAGCAATCCGCATCTTGCTGTGTCTGGCGGACACTGCAGGCACAGAGCGTGCAGCTATGTGCTTCCAGGTAGAGCGCACAGGCGGCAGATGCAGGGGGGAGGTTTAGAAAGGTCCACCTGCATTGGTTCTACTCCCGTCCAGCCGTTTATGTGGATGGACCAGATGGGAAAAGGTTAAGCACTCTGAAAAGACAGGTCTTTACCTTGTTCATTCTCTTTCACAGACCTCTGGCTTTGATCCTTTAATCTCCCTTGTAAAACTTTTTCTCTAAAATGTATCTCACATTAAGCCCCCCTTTGTAACAAGCTCGGCTTCCTTGGAATCTCAACTTGGTTCTCTGCATCCTGCAGAGACCACCCTTTGAACCCATCAAAGATAGTCCCTTAGAAGATCTCTTATGTAAAGTAGCCTTTTTGGTTGGCCTTTTTTTTGTCAGAAGAGTCTAAGTTGGTTGCCCTCTCCTGTAAGCTGTTCTTTGTACTTCACAAAGACAAGGTTGTCTTATGCCCAAGACCATCTTTTCTTCTTGAGACTTGCTGACACAGTTCTGTTTGTCTAGTTGTTGCCTACCACTGTCATTCATTGCTTGAGGATGTTCCAGGATCTATGAATACTTTGCCTGTGTCCTCTACTGTAAGGTTAAGACAGGAGGAGATATGACTTACTTGTAAATTCCATATGTTAGAGTATGGTACAGATCATAGGCCACCCCCCATTCCTTGGTTACTCTGCATTGCTTGCTACACAACTAAGGATTCACAGAGTGGGATAGTGTTATAGGGGAGGCACCCAAGGGGCGTGTCCTTAAAGGCTTTGTCAGTGTCCAGTCACCTCAAGGTACAAGCATATTACGCATGGCATATGAATACTTTGCCTGTGTCCCATACTGCACAGTAACATATGGAAATCCCTCTTTTTTTTAAGTTAAGTTGGGGAACGAGAGAATCTCTGTGACCTTAAAGCGGAGTTCAACCCAAAAGGGGAAGTTCCGCTTTAATACTTTGTCCCCCGCTCCCCATTAAGGATTGACACCTTTGGGAAGTGGGTACCCGAATTTGACAGGTAACCTCTCCCACTTCTGCGATCGCCTTCCTCCTTCCCCGTAGTCTTCTGGGACACGTGACAGGTTCCAGAAGACTACAGGGCCATTCACAAAGCGCAGTGTTTCGTACGCATGCTGTGAAGCCGCAAGCTGTCACTGCCGGGTGCCCACACTAAAGATGCCGATGCCAGGGAGAGAAGATGGCTGGTGAAACCAGCGGTGGTGAGGACACCGCTGGACCGAGGGACAGGTAAGTGGCTGTATTTTAAGTCAGCTACAGTTTTTGTAGCTGCCGACTTTTTTTTTTTTTTTATCTAGAACTCTTTAACAGATTTTACAGGCAGGCTGAAATTTGCTCCTGAGTTTTGTGTAACTAGGTATAGAACTTCATAAACCTGAAGTGTTCTATGATGTCTAATCCTTTACTTAAGCAATATTGTGAATATTTCCTATGTGTATAACATTTAGCATTTTAACTTCCAATTTTGTTTTACTTTCTTACACCATAGGTGTGCAATTATAGGTCCTCAGTTTTTTTAGATATCGATATTCATTTTCGAAATGTCCACGAAAACACTAAAAATTTGCTGTGTCCATTTTGTCTGAAAGTTATTAAATCAGGAACTCCATACATGCAGCATTACATGAAACACCAGGTTAGTTCCCTCTATTAAATTATAGTTATTTCTTGGCTGAATTTGAATTTATTTGTACATCATCAAACTGTGGAACCAGGAGTGATGTCATCCTTATGTTTTCCCATTCTAGAATAAAGGTGTGTATAGATGTGCAAAGTGCAGGCTGCAGTTTTTGTCTTGCAAAGAAAAAATGGATCACAAAGCTCAGCATCACAGGACATTCAGAAAGCCAAAACAACTTGAAGGTCTTCCTCCAGGAACAAAGGTATTTGATTTCACCTTTTGAAGGCTGATAATGAATGACATTTACACCTTGATAGATATTTTTATCTTATAATTTAAGTGCCTTTTTGCTGATAATATCCAAAATATCAAAACAGGACTAAAAGTCATAAAACCCAGTACTGAAGGGAGCAGTGCTTCAATGTCTTAGTAGGGTTTCTGCAGAATAGCACAACATATAGCTTTGTATTGGAATTTTCCCTGGAGCTTATTGAATGTAGTGAAATTTCACTTTGCAAAGAATACTCACTTATGTCCAAGAAATTTAAAAAAAGCATACTTTTTGCTTGAACATGATTGAGTGATGGATGCAGAGCTTCACCTCATTCGCTAAGCTCTGGAGAAATTCCCATATAAAGTGTATAAAGTGACCAGTTTATTTGTCTTAAGTAAATCTACTCCAGTATTTACATTTCATGACAATATAGTCATAACATTAAGGATACTATGAGCTCCCAAACCTTTTGTGTATATGTATGTCACATGCTATAGTTATTTTGTTTTTTTGTTACTTTAACACTTATTTTTTGGGTGTGTTTAGGTCACAATCCGAGCATCTTCTGGAGGAAATACCAACCCTGTTTCCCCTCCTACCACTTCAACTCCAAGAAATCCTCCCTCCACTCCAAGAAATCCTCCTTCCTCACCTAGAAATCCTCCCCCCACTCCTAGAAATCCTCCCTCCACTCCTAGAAATCCTCCCTCCGCTCCTAGAAATCCTCCCTCCGCTCTAAAAATCCTCCCTCCACTCCGAAAAAATCCTCCCTCCATTCCTAGAAATCCTCCCTCCATTCCCAGAAATCCTCCATCCACTCCCAGAAATCCTCCCTCCACTCCTATAAATCCTCCTTCCATTTCCATTAATCCTCCTGCCACTCCACCCAGGCCACCCACTCAGTTCCTGCCTGTAACGCCATCTCAGCCAGTTCCTAAAATCAAGACTGTAAGTCCTAAGAACAATCAGGTTTCTCCACCTAAAGTAAACACACTGTCACCTAAACCTAAATCACCTCCAAAGAAGTCTGTGACTCCAAACACTACAAAAAGAATGAAGGTGACTAATACAGCATTGCGAAATATAAGGTAATCATTTTTTTTATTTAAAACATGGTCGTTATCAGCACAGATCTCTAGAATAGCAGTGTGCTTTTTGGAAAAAGTTTTATTAAACTTTCTACTGTAAGAGAATGAGTCACATGTTTTGATTTGATTTTGATTTTTCAAATATTTGTTAGACACTTCTCTTATTCTGTAGTCTGTAACATACCTGTTCATGGTCATATTTTCTACTTCAGGCAGAGTTAGGAGAATTGAGCCAGGAACTTGTAATGAAATTGTAGGAATTAAATTACAGGCTGGGGATGTTTTTTCCAGGAGGTTATTGTATAGCACTTCAAGCAGTGTGTATTCCAGTGAAGTAATGGATTTCAAGAAAGCAGGGCCAGAAAAAAAACCTGAATCAAGAAATAGGTGTAAAGTTAATAAGAAAGATGGTAGAACAGAGGTAAGAAAGGAGTGCCATTGACTTCTTATATTGTCCCTCATGCTCTTCTGCTTTCTTCTGACAGCAGGCATTTGTTAGGGATGGCAGATAGTCTTGTTATCATGGGTTTCTGTACTTCTAAAGTACAGAAGTATAGTATAGTAGTAAAGTAGAATATTACTTTAACTACTTCCATACAGGGCACTTTTACCCCCTTCCTGCCCAGGCCAATATTCAGGTTTCAGTGCTGTCACACTTTGAATGACAATTGCGCGGTCATACAACACTGTACCCAAACTAAAATTTTATAATTTTCTTCACACAACTAGAGCTTTTCTTTTGGTGGTATTTAATCACCACTGGGGTTTTTATTTTTTGCTAAATTAACAAAAAAAAGACTGAAAATTTTGGGAAAAAAAAAAAACGTTTTTCTTTGTTTCTGTTGAAAAAGTTTGCAAATAAATAGTTATTCTTCATAAATTTAGGTCAAGATGTATTCTGCTACATTTCTTTGTTGAAAATAACCCAAATTAGTATTTATTATTTACTCTGTAGGAAAGTTATAGAGTTCACAAACTATGGAATATATCTGAATATTGATCAATCCTGAAGTACTGACAGCCAATCTCATTTCTTGAGGTCCAAGAATGTCAGAACAGTACAGATGTCCCCCAAATGACCCCTTTTTGCAGAGTAGACAGTCCGACGTATTTCATAACAGGCATGGCGAGTTTTCTGAAGTTGTAATTTTTTTAAAAATTAAGAAATTAAAAAAAAGATTCGCACTATTTTTTTTTCTACATACTGTCATCAGTGCAGTACAGCATCATCACAGCGACTGGTAACAGTACGAAAAAAAAAATTATAATTTTTTAAAAAAAAATTTATTTTTAATTTTTTATTAATTTTTTTTCTTTTTTTTTAAGATTTGTTTTTCCTAATGCACTATGACCAAAGTAGTATAATGTTACCATAGTAACATTGTACTACTTTGGGGAAGTAATCAGTATTTTTTTTACACAATTTCTTATAGCAAAGAATTACTTTGCTATAAGCAAGCATTTACCTGAATGAAATTGATTCATTCAGGTTTTTTTTTTTTTTTTGTGATTAGATGTGATTTGACCATGGCTAATCACAAGACACAGCTGGGCTGTGATTGGCACAGCTTGTGCATGTGATCGCTGTGACCATTCACAGCTAGACACACTTGTATACAATGGATGGCATGAAAGGAAGCTATCCATTGTATACAACTGTCATGTGACCTGCTGTGATTGGTCACAACAGGTCACATGGTACTGGCAACAGGGCAGGTACTCAGATCTGTCATCGTCCGTGTCCGAGGTACACGGCCGGTGACAGATCGCCTGTTACTCTTGACTTACCCTCATGGGCGTTTCCCCCTGCTGGATGGATGTTACTTCCTGGAGCCTGGAGAGTGATGTTGTGTATTACCTGTCTTGCTGAGGTTTGCCAGATGATCCCCTGAGTTACCCTTCTAGATCCAGATGACCAGGAGTGGTCTGATTCACTCAAATGCACATTACATTGCGCTTTCTGGTTAGTGCAATATACACTCATTTACAGCCACTGGAATCACAGAATTCACCTGATGATATTTTATTGAACTTGGAATCTTTATATTACATTTCTGACACTTGTGCACTTTAAACGTCAATACCTAGACGTTGTTCACATTAATGGCTATAGCGCTCCACAGCGCATGTTTATGATAACAATACCATACATATAATTTATTAGATCGTTTCACTTATATATATATATAGTGCTGCATTTATTTGTTTACTAGTACAGTGTCAGTGCTTTTTTTTTTTTGTTTTTTTGTTAGCACTGATCACTGTATTGGTGTCACTGGGGATGTCAGTGACACCAAGTCAGTTCCTCCCCAGTGTCAAAATGCCCGCTGCAGTCCCACTATAAGTCGCTGATCGCCGCCATTACTAGTAAAAATAAAAAATAAATCCCAGTGTATATACCGCCATTTGTAAATGCTGTAACTTTCATGTAAACCAATTAATTTACACATATTGGGATTTTTTTTTTTTTTTAGCCAAAACCAAAAATGACTAGTTTTGCTGAGCAGCATTTTTAAACTAAAAATTAGTTTAAAAAAAAAATAGTAGTTTCAGAGGTGCCAGTCTTCACCAAAGCAGTTGAAATGATCTGATCTAATGACCATTTAGCCCTGACTCAAACTGAATCCAACTTTGAAATCATGCGACTTTACTTCAAGTCCCAAGATTTCAAAGCTGCAGGTCTGTGGGATTTTAGGTGCAACTTCATGCACAGATGTCTATGAAAGTCGCACTGAAATTAGTTCAGGAAACTTTTTTCAAATTCTTGCAGCACCGCAATGTCTGAGCTGCACCTATTTGAACAGTTCCATTGCCAACAATAGGGTGTGATTTGGAACTGTCAAATCACATAACAAGTCACATTGGTGTGAACCAGGGCTTACAGTGGAATAATCACAACTTTATAAATTATGAAAATGGTGCGATAGAAGCATCAGTGAAGCCATTTTCTGGCCTATGTGTTGCCTTACTAATGTAAAGGCTACTAAAGTTAAACTTGATTAAGGGTTGTCTTGGATTTAGTGCATAAATTGAAATAAAACAGGTGCTCTGCTTCATGGTAGAACATCTCAATGTGAAGTCAGGCTGGGGATAGGTGACCATATTTGTAGAGATGTGGGAGGTTTGAAGCAAGCGATAAGTAGGAGGAATATCAAAGGCCAGATTATCATTTAAGTTTCAGGTCAAATGTTGTTTAGAAAGAAACATCTTTAAACAGTTGTCAATTTTGTCAAATATATTAGAATATTTTGTAACTTGCATCACACTAATACCTAAAGAAGCATATATATATACTGTTTTTTTTTTTTCTTTGTTCACCCAGTGAGTTGAACAAAAAAAAAACAGATCCTCACATCAACACAAGCGACTGTCCAGCCATTGGCTGCACACACTGACCGAATGCTGGTTTTCCAGCATGACAGTTTGATAGAATACAATTATTATGGTAAATGCCTATATTGTCCCATGTTTGGACTACTATAGTTCATCCTCTTTTTGTGATGTATTGCTTGTAATATGAAGCCTGAGCAATATGCATTATGATGATTGTGTTTGTTGTATTCAGGTACATTCCTGGGCTCCATAAATGCATTGAATGTCATCGTCAAGTGGTGGATTTTGAGGGGCATTTCCACACTTATGTGCACTGCAGCAAATGCAAGTTCAGTACCAGCTGCAATAAAGCTTACACTAACCACATGCTGAGGTGAGAAGAGAATAGATGTTTCCTTTTGGAAATACAGTGGTAAACATTTATTTTTGCATATGCATGAAAAAATGTCATTTTGTACATTCAATTCTGGCTTGCATTTGGATTGATGATTGGGCTTGATGTCTCTGTATATCTAGTGTTTGAGGAATCAAGAGTTGGGATCAGGAATCTGTTAACCAGTTTCATGCCTATTTCCTTTGCTGACATCTTCATTGTATTTTTGCAGCTTCCATGGCAGAAATTCCAGCAAAAAATCCAAAGCTTTGAAGAAACATCCTAAGGACAAAAGGTAGGATGTGAATTATTATTTGTTGTTGTTTTTTAACAATACAAATGGACATTGTATTCCTGTTGCTCACTTTCTAAGTATTCAGCGTTTTGGTAGTTCAACCCTTTTGCTGCCATGGATGTGTGTATATATACACCGTGTTCCAAATTATTATGCAAATGATATTTTTCTCATTTACCTAAATAATTGATGTAAATAGCAGTCAGCATAATTCTCATGTTATCAACTATTAAGAGTACAATTCACATTTTATTGAACAAACCTCCTAATGATAACAGGATTTTGTTTTAAACATAAAAAACTTACAATGCACTGTTCCAAATTATTACGCACAGTAAGTTTCAAAACACTTTATAGGTTGTAAAGAACTGAAAATTGTCATTTGTTGTGTTTGCAGCATATTTACTGAAATCAAAAGCTATTTCAATCAAACTTTTAACAACATTTTAACTTTTTAAACATTTTAACAGGTCACGTTACATTTTAACATAGGACCCCTTATTTGATAGCAGCTTCACAAGTCTTGCATCCATTGAACTTGTGAGTTTTTGGACAGTTTCTGCTTGAATTTGTTTTCAAGATGTCAGAATAGTCTCCCAGAGCTGCTGTTTGGATGTAAACTGCCTCCCACCCTCATAGATCTTTTGCTTGAGGATGCTCCAAAGGTTCTCAATAGGATTGAGGTCAGGGGAGGATGGAGGCCACACCATGACTTTCTCTCCTTTTATCCCCATAGCAGCCATTGATGTAGAGGTATTCTTTGCAGCATGAGATGGTGCATTGTCATGCATGAAGATGATTTTATTACGGAAAGCATAGTTCTTCCTTCTGTACCAGGGAAGAAAGTGATCAGTCATAAACTCCATATACTTTGCAGAGGTCATCTTTACACCTTCGGGGCCCCTAAAGGGGCCGACCAGCTCTGTTCCCATGATTCCGGCACAAAACATGACCCCACCACCTCCTTGCTGACATCGCAGCCTTGTTGGAACAGGGTGGCCGTCCACCAACCATCCACTACTCCATCCATCTGGACCATCCAGGGTTGCACGGCACTCATCAGTGAACAGGACTGTTTGAAAATTAGTCTTCATGTATTTTTCTGGCCAATGCAGCCGTTTCTGCTTGTGAGCATTGGTTATTGGTGGCCGAATAGAAGGATTATGCACAGTCGCAAGACTGGAGGACTCTACACCTTGATGTCCGTGGGACTCCAGAGGCACCAGCAGCTTCAAATATCTGTTTGCTGCTATGTAATGGTATTTTAGCAGCTGCTCTCTTGATCCGATGCATGGATCTGGCAGAAATCTTCCTCAATGTGCCTTTATCTGCACGAACCCGTCTGTGCTCTGGATTGGCCACAAAGCTCTTAATAGTGCGATGATCATGCTTAAGTTTTCGTGAAATATCTAATGTTTTCATACCTCGTCCAAGGCATTGAACTATTTCACTCTTTTCGGCAGAATAGAGATCCTTTTTCTTCCCCATATTGCTTGAAAATGGTGCTCTGCTTAATAATGTGGAACACCCTCCTTTAGTAGTTTTTCCTTAAATTGGGCTCACCTGCCAATCTAATTATCACAGGTGTCCAAGATTGTTTGCAGTGATCAAAAGAGCCCTGAGACACAATGCCATCCATGAGTTACACTGAAAACCAAAATATTTAATCTTTGTGACACTTAAATAGAATTTGCATAATAATTTGGAACACGGTGTATATACCATCTGGGAGTTTCTTTACATTTCCTCTCCAGGCTGTCAGCTTTCTAGTAGAAGTAATGTGAGCATCTAAAAAGCTGCTTGATTACTTCTACAACCTGCTGAAGCCTTCCATATACACACCTAGGTGCAAGTCAAACTGGGACTTTTAATTTTTTTCAGTATAAAAAGGGATTCTAGTGTGGCAGTACTACACGTAGTAGTAGTAAGTGGCAATTGTGTCCAATTACTGATAGACAGCGCACATGTCGCAGGCCAGTCCAGAGACTGTTAATTAGGATGGCAGACAACAGTGTTACTGCGTGCATGAAACAGCGTGTGGGGACTAAGTTTCTTGTGAACGAAGGCATAAAGCCTGCCGATATCTACAGAAGACTTCAAGCACAGTACTGTGATGAGACGCTCACAGCCGCATGAAAGACATTTCAACGGTGTAAAGGTTTCAAAGATATCCATACATCTATCAGTGACGATCCTGGCCATGGTGGTTACCTGGGCACAGCAGTCATTCCTGTGAACATTCAGCGCGTGGATCACCTGATCCTGGATAATCGATGCATAACCTGTTGTGAAATTTCAGCACTGACAAAGTGAAGCAGACAGTCCTACGATGGTTCAGGCATGCTGTCAAGTCTTTCTATGCCAAAGCTTTCCAGGCATTAGTTAAACGATGGGATAAGTGTGTAAATGTAGTAGGGGAGGATGTTGAAATATAAATGCAGCTTCAGCTCCTTGACATTTGTTCTTTTATTATATAAACTCAGAAGTGCCGGATTGACTTGAACACTCCTCTATATATCTCACAACAAATGCTGTAGTTGTATGTCGTGGCATTGTTATGTGTAATCCAGGGCAGATCTAACGTATATAAACCTCCTGAACCTGTCTTGTGTCCTAAATTTCTTACTTTGAAACGGGAAATTCCAAGTTATTTTATGTGAACTTTTCTTTTACAGGGCATTGTATATACAATCTAACAGACAACTCCGTTTTTATTCCATTAGGCGTATAACCGTAGTATGCCTGAATTGTGATCTCCTGACCGATGTTTCTGGTTTAGATGATATGGCCAAACATTTAAGTGAAAGTCACACTCATTCGTGCCAAGTGGTTACAGAGAATGGTAAGAATAGATATTTTTTTTTTAATCTTTACTCTGTATTCCTTTCTCATCCATCATTATTAGTTGAATCGTTGTTATTGTTAACAGTGACATTTTTTTAAAGTGAATTCATTTTTTTTTCTTTTGATCTCAGTTTCCATATTTTCCTCAACTCATGAAGGAGACATGTCTAAGTAAGTTAGCTTTTTGCTTACTGCCCTTAAGCTCCTATAAACTTAGTGTTTGGCTTCTAAGCATTGGATAAATAGTCGCCTGTAGCTTAGTGCGTACTTTGCTTTATTAGAGCCTACTTAAATTTGTCTTTGTTGTCCATAATCAAGACTATTTATAAGCAATAATTCATTATGCACTAGCCACCGAAAAAGATTCTATAAAAACATGTAAAAACATATATAAATACCTAGCATTTGCTCTAATTGGAAATGGTAGTTTTATAAGAATATCTTAACTCCATAAATGATCAATGTCTGTACTGTGCTATCCTTGTTCAGCACAGGCAGGTAAACAACTACTAGAAACAGTAATACAGGAACCATGTTTTGGACAAATTTGCATACATTTTACCCGAACAAATAACTGCATTATAGATTCACATGAGAGACGATTATCCAGTTATCAGTTCCTCTTTTTTGAAAACCTACATTTTCCCAATAAATTGCACCATGTGTATGCATTTAGAATAAATACCCATTTTAGTGAACCTGATATAAACCTCACAAGCACATACAATATGTCCACAGTTGTCTTGTGACATGTGGAATCAGATAAACATGTTATATACTGTCTGTACATTATGTTAAAGGATCTCTTTGAGAGGACTAACTTAACTTTAATAACATTAAATGTTCTATGTGATCATGAGTATGAACTCATCTGACCAGTATGCAAATTTGATACTCGTCTAGCAACAAACATTCAAGGTAAAAGTTAATCTGAAGGATCTTGAACTTTTGAGTCCAAAGCTGACTCAAAAGTGGGTGACTCTTGAGAAAATTAAAGAATGTTGTGTCCTCCCTGATGCTCTCCTCTGTGACACCTCTATTTTTAGCTTGGTTTAGAAGTTTCCTTTCTCTTTCCATTTGTCATCCTGATTGCGGATGCAGCAATCTCTGCTTAATGGAATCAGTGTTAAGTCTTCAGACTGACCTGTTATGGATTTCATGTGCACTTTTTCTAAGACTACTTATGCACTGCAATTTGCAATTAAAGTGGAACTTTAGTCAGAAAATTAAGTTCTGATAGATTACTTCAGGCTTGCTCCTTTTGCAGGCACAGCTACTGTATGTAAACATTAAAAATAAGTGCCTATACTGTTTAAAATCCAGTAGGGCACTGTCTCTCTCTGCTCTGCTTTGCCTTAGTTGTCCTGTATTCTAGGCACTGCTGAAAATCAGGGAGTCACGAGAGGCTCATCATTTGACAGCCTAAAGATTTACTGCTGGTGAGGAGGTGGAGGAAACAACAAAAATGTCAAACTGTGCTGAGGAACACAGATTAGGGAAAGAGAAACAAACTCAGGAGAGATGACAGAATAGACTCTGCTGCCAGGGAGACTCAAAAGAGTTAAACTTACAAGAATCATGTCTTATCATATCTCCCTGATTCTCTCTCCTTTGTCTCACTGGCAGCACTTGTCAGCTACTGCAGCCTTTCTTTCTAGATGAGCTAAGACATACAATCAAGGCTGGAAATGCACACATTTTAATTACAAAAAGTGATTATATAGTTTTTGAGATTAAGGAAAGAGGGAGAGATTTCAGTAAGGAAGTGACTGCTCTGGGCTTCAACAAAAATGGCGGCCTCCAGCAAGAAGAAACAAGAGCAATGCTGGAGACAATTTACAGCACACACTAATTTTGGT